GGCGGGGCCGCTCGCGGGCCGTCGGAGCGCGCGGCTCCCTCTGCCCGGTGTGCTCTCGGCCCGCGAGGCTGTGCGAGTTACACACAGGAGCACGGGACCAGGAAGGCGGTGGCCCTGGCTCCACTTCCGATCTTTCTGCCCCGGTCTCCTCTCTGCGCCCACCCCACCTGCACCCGGCCCTTGCCTGGCCTCCCGAGCACGGCCATCGCGTGCCTTTCCTCCACTCCCAAGGGCTTTCCGAATTTCAGAAGCGTGCTCGCAGCCGGGGATTTCCCGGTGCGCTGGCTTCCGCGCCCCGCTGACGCCCTGAGCCGGGGTGCTGCGCGCTCCTCGGGGCGCTCCCGTTTACTTTTCGCCGGCCCCGCGAATCCAAAGTCCGTTTCCCAGGCGGGAGCAACGGCGACTCGGGACGGGGCGCGCAGGCTGTGGAAAAGGAAAGAAAGACGTTTGTTCCGTGTTTAGTGGAAAACAACTCCCTGCCCGGGAAGGACGGCGGGGTCGGAGGTGAAGTCACCCAAAGCGCCACACCTACCGCAGTCGCGGCCCCGCAGGGAGCGAGCGCCTCTCCCCAGGAGGGGTGACGGCGGTGGGGACACCGATCTGAGGTCCTCGCCCCGGCCCCTGCGGGGAGCTCGCGCCCCAGCGCAGCAGCCGGCAGCCCCGGCCTCTCCCTCACACCCTGACTGTAAAATCGCCCTCTGCGAGGGAGGGGAGCAAATGGTTATTTTACGTTTGGAGCAAAAGGAATGAACTTTTAACCGAGACTTCGAGAATACATGGACTGCTGGATGTATGTACAAAGATAACTTGAAAGTAAACACAGTCATTATTTTGGTGGGAAAAAATGAACTGACTGGAAAATGAGTCATCTACCCCATTTCCGGGCTTCAGCGGAGCAGGCACCTTTCTCCCCAAAGCTCTCCCGGCCGGTGACTAACTGCTCGAAGCAGTCAAGTAATAAAACACTCCAATTTCATTTATTTAATCATCTGTGTGCTTCACTCCACAAATATTTACAGAGTGTCTGCTACAAGCTCAGCATGGGACACCGGGGTCCTGAGCCAGAGCCCGCCCCCAGCTGCTGCGGACGAGACAAAGCTCACCTGGGGACTGGCGGGGGAAGTCCCCGTGTCCCCTGCAGAGCTCCCCATACTTAATGCTCTCTCCCCCGAGAGGCAGCTGGCTGATCACAAAAGGGAAGCAGAAGCCGTGGAAGGAATCCCGAAGGCAGCCTGGCCCTCGGGGACGCAGGACAACGCCTACTTTCATCTGAAGCCTCTGTTCCTGGACAGCGAGGGGCACACTTCCAAGCAGAAGAGTGAAGTTCTGCAGCCAGATGTGGCAGCGCACACCTGTAATCCCAGCCCTCTGGGAGTTCAAGCCCAGCCCGGGCAACTTCGGGATTTAGTGAGACCCTGTCTCAAAAAGTACAAACGGAGGGGCTGGGGATTTAGCTCAGCGGCATAGCGCCTACAAGGCAAGCGCAACGTCGTGAGTTCAATTCCCGGTACCGGAAAAAAAAACAAAACAAACAAACAAAAGAAAAAGTACAAACGGGCGGGGATGTAGCTCAGTGCGGAGGCCCTGCAGCCAGTCCCTGGTACTGCCCTCACCAAGGTAAGTATACAGCAGGTCCACAGAGAGGGAGGCATTTCCAACATCAGGAAGTGGGTCACTGTGCCCACTGGGCATCCGACTGAAGATGCCCATCACCGTGAGGGTTCTGGCAAGGCCGCCGAGGAACCTGTGAGGTGGCCACGTGTCGGCGTGGTCAGGATGAGACGGCCACACAGGAGGGCGCCAGGCACAGGGCTCCGGCTGCGGCCTGGCCTGGCCGCTGGGGGAGGAGGGGTCGGCCACAGACACTGGGGCGTCGCCCGCGTTGGCAGCCTGTCCCGCAAGCTGCGTTTCTCCTGCACATCTCCTCTTCCTAGAGCTCCAGCGTCGGGGTTCCTCCCACACCGGCCGCTCCGGGAGCTCATCTAAGTGGAGGACCCCGGGCCCCAGGGTTCTTTCTTCCGCAGGCCTGTCCCTCCTTTGCCTTGCTGCAGACGAGGGGCCCTGCGGCAGGGGAGCGGGGGCCAGCGGTGGACGTGCCGCCCCTCACTTGGGGCTGGGCCCCGTTGCATTCTCCCGGGGATGCGGGAAGGTAGCGCCTTCTTCAGAATGGGGTGGATTCCCCTGAAATGCAGTGTGCCGCCTGTGCCAGGCGGTGGACAGCGTGGCCATTTATTATCACTGGGGTTTTAAACGGTCACTGCACCCCTTGGGGTCTCCACAGCCACTGCCACCCCTGCAGTCCTGCAGCTCAGCTCCCCCTGGGCGCAGAGGAGGCAGCGCCCCAGGGCTCACCCCGTGTGCGCCCTGGCACCCCCAGCCTCCTTCCTGCCGCCCTCCCCGGTGCAGCAGCGCCTGCCTCGACTTGCAGGCCCTCCCTGAGAATTCGCCTCGAGTGTTGTTTGTCAAAGAGCACAGCTAGTTCACAGCAGGGATTCGGGCTTCCTCTATTCCGCAGAAGAAGGGTTTGGGAGAGGAGTGGCACCGGACTGGGGCTCCTCCGGGGGCCGGGCCCGCCCCGACTTGGGCTCTCCCTCCAGCATGGGCTCTGTTTACGCAGACGCCGCCCTCTGTGGAGCCGCCCTGCCGGGCCCAGGGCTTGGCCGCCGCCTTTCCCACGGCCCTCCTGGGCGGCTGGCTCCTCCTGCACCTGGGACAGCTGCAGCGGCAGGCCCTCCAGGAGGCGCGCGCGTCTGGGGCAGGAGGAAGCGGGCAGGGCAGGATTATTCTTCTACGGTGACAGTGAGGCCTGGAATCTCCTGCACGCCCACCGCCTCTCCCGGCCCTCCGAGTCATCCTCTTCCAGGCTCCGGAAAGCCCCCATCCGGATGCCCTGCCCCCTCTCTGCTTCCCCAGTCTACCCGGGAGACCCCTGCCTTCGCCCTCCAGGCCACACCTCTCCTCCAAGCTCCACCCCCAGATGTGACGCATGTCTGCCCTGGGGATGGACTAGGATTTTCACCCCAAGACGGACTCCCTACCCCGCCCCCCAGCACCCTGAACAATGTCTCAGCGAATGAGTGCCGCATCCGAAGCCCGGCGCGGGGTAGTTCCTGTCCCCTCCCCTCCTGGGCTCTGTCCGCCTAAGGGGAGGTCACAAGAGGCCGCCCACAGGGACGGCACCTTCTCTACCCAGACAAGATGAGACTGGGGGGGGAGGGGGGGAGCACTGCCTGCCCTCCTTGCAGAGCCCCTCCTGGGCCCTGCCCGCCACCAGCAATCCCTGGATGCTCGCCCGACATCTCCACGCGCATCGCCAGCCCCTGCAGGGGGTGACCTCGCTCTGCAGTGAGCCCAGGCGTGGCCAGAGCCGGCAAGGACCCTGGGCAGTCCGTGTGGGCCCTGGTGGGGTCGGGATCCAGCTCGGATCCCTGTGGATGTGTCACTCAGTGCCACCCTGGCTTCCTTGTAAGGATCCCACCGGGTCACCACCCATCACCATGGCACTTAGACCCTGGCTGGTTCCACTCCCAGGTCCCACAGTATCAGCACAGGTCTGCACCCCCTGGACTCTGCCAGGGCCAGCTCTCCCCTGGCCAAGCCGCTCCTCCTGGGCAGAGGCTGGGCTCTGCCCACAGACCCACGCCCCGGCCATGTCTGGGAGGGGAAGGAGCAGCACTCTAGCCTCAGCTGGGTCCTGCTACTTGGCTCCTCCAGCTTTCCCCCCGCCGCTGGTGGTCCGCCGGGGCGCAGGGCCTTTGCACAGGCAGGGCCTGTTGGGAAGGCTCTGTCCTGCGACAGCACACACCCGCCGTCATCTGCCCTCTCTCACCCACTCGGCCCACCACTGCCCTCAGTTCTGTCTTTGACAGGCAGATCAGTGCCTGGCTCCTCCGCTGACCCGGCCCTGACAGCAGGCCAGGCGGCTTCCTTCCGCTCCCCGTCACCCACGGGCCCTGCAGCCCCTCTCCGATATGCTCACCCCGATATTGGACGCCTACCCTGCGTCCCCTCGTTCTGCTCCACGGTCACCTTCCTGGGCGATCTGACCTTAAACAGCTGGACGCCACCCTCCAAAGCACAGGAGTCGGGGCACGGGCCTCTCCCTGGGGCCCCAGAGCAAGGCCTTCTGGTTCTGAAAGGAGGCCCATTTGGGTTCCCTCCAGAGCGCCCCCACAGGGCGCGGTGGGTACTGCAGGTGTCGCCAAACTCCCTTTGTAGGTGGCACACTTCCTGCCCGGGCCATCCGGGTACTGCGATCCTCACCCAAGAGGGTGACCAGGAGTCCCTGGTTACGTACTTAGGACCAAACTACTTTAAAACAGTCCTCAAGAAGTGAAACGTTAAAATTACCATATCAGCCAGTAATTCTACTCCTCGGGGTGCTAGCAAAAGAACAGAGACTATTCGGGCGCACACCTGTCACTCCAGCCCTTGGGAGGCTGAGACAGGAGGATCTCTGTGAGTTGGAGCTTGAGCTACATAGTGAGTTCAAGGCCAGCCTGAAATACATATTGAGAACCTTTCTCAAAAAGGAAAAACAAAAACGGAGCCATTGGAAACGGGTACGCAGCGGACGCTCGCACCACGACATTCCTACAGCAATATTCACTGCGGACGGTGGGGGCGCCCCAGGTGTCTGAAGGGGAGCGGATGCGGCCTTTCCTTTCCTATGGGTGGGACGAATCACCCGAGAGATGAGGGCGGCGCCCCGGGATCAAAACACCCCCTAGAAGCGCCACCTCTGACCCCACGGGATGCTGGGGAGACCCAGATGGAAAGCCGAGCAGTCGTGCGGTACCGCGGACGCGC